TGCAACGATAATTCAGTATGGTTGATATGTTAATTTTGACCATTATCATCAAAATGATGATAATGGTTGCCATAGCAACCATCATTTATAATGAATAATATGCTAAATATGATCAAGTCATCGTAATGAAAATTATGGTTGCCATGGTAACCATCATTTATCATGAATAATATGCTAAATATGATCAAGATCATCAAAATGAAAATCATTGTTGCCATGGTAACCATCATTTATCATGAATAATAATATGCTAAATATGATCAAGATAATCATAAAGATCATCATGGTTGAAATTGCAACCATAATTCATTATGGTTGATATGTTAATTTTCATCATTATCATCAAAATGATGATAATGGTTGCCATTGCAACCATCATTTATCATGAATAATATGCTAAATATGATCAAGATCATCATCATGAAAATCATGGTCGCTATGGTAACCATCATTTATCATGAATAATATGCTAAATATGATCAAGACCATCATAATGAAAATTATGGTTGCCATGGTAACCATCATTTATCATGAATAATAGGCTAAATAAGATCAAGATCATCATAAAGATCATCATGGTTGAAATTGCAACCATAATTTATTATGGTTGATATGTTAATTTTGATCATTTTCATCAAAATGATGATAATGGTTGCCATGGCAACCATCAATTCTCATGAATAATATGCTAAATATGATCAAGATAATCTTAATGAAAATTATGGTTGCCATGGTAACCATCATTTATCATGAATAATATGCTAAATATAATCAAGATCAACATAAAAATCATCATGGTTGAAATTGCAACCATAATTTATTATAGTTGATATTTTTATTTTGATCATTATCATCAAAATGATGATTATTGTTGCCATGGCAACCATCATTTATCATGAATAATATGCTAAATATGATCAAAATCATCATAATGAAAGTTATGGTTGCCATGGTTACCATCATTTATCATGAATAATATGCGAAATATGATCGAGATCATCATAATAAAAATTATGGTTGCCATGGTAACCATCATTTATCATGAATAATATGCTAAATATGATCAAGATCATCATAAAAATCATCAACGTTGAAATTGCAACCATAATTTATTATGGTCTATATGTTAATTTTGATCATTATCATCAAAATGATGATAATGGTTGCCATAGCAACCATCATTTATCATGAATAATATGCTAAATATGATCAAGATCATCATAATGAAAATTATGGTGGCCATGGTAACCATAATTTATCATGAAAAAATGCTAAATATGATCAAGATCATCATAAAGATAATCATCGTTGAAATTCCAACCATAATTTATTATGATTGATACGTTAATTTTGATAATTATCATCAAAATGATGATAATGGTTGTCATGGAACCATCATTTATCATGAAAAATATGCTAAATATGAACCAGTTCATCATAATAAAAATTATGGTTGCCATGGTAACCATCATTTATCATGAATAATATGCTAAATATGATCAAGATCATCATAAAGATCATCAAGGTTGAAATTGCAACCATAAATTATTATGGTTGATATGTTAATTTTGAACATTATCATCAAAATGATGATAATGGTTGCCATAGCAACCATCAATTATCATGAATAATATGCTAAATATGATCAAGATCATCATAATTAAAATTATGGTGGCTATAGTAACCATAATTTATCAGGAATAATATGCTAAATATGATAAAGATCATCAGAAAGATAATCATGGTTGAAATTGCAACCATAATTTATTATGATTGATATGTTAATATTGATCATTATCATCAAAATGATGATAATGGTTTCCATGGCAACCATCATTTATCATGAATAATATGCTAAATATGATCAAGATCACCATAATAAAAATTATGGTTGCCATGGTAACCATCATTTATTATGAATAATATGCTTAATATGATCAAGATCATCATAAAGATCATCATGGTTGAAATTGCAACCATAAATTATTATGGTTGATATGTTAATTTTGATTATTATCATCAAAATGATGATAATGGTTGGCATGGCAACCATCATTTATCATGAATAATATGCTAAATATGATCAAGATCGTCATAAAGATCATCACGGTTGAAATTGCTACCATAATATATTATGATTTATAGGTTAATTTTGATCTTTATCATCAAAATGATGATAATGGTTGCCATAGCAACCATCATTTATCATGAAAAATATGCTAAATATGATCAAGATAATCCTAAAGAAAAGTATGGTTGCCATGGTAACCATCATTTATCATGAATAATATGCTAAATATGATCAAGATCATCCTATTGAAAATTATGGTTGCATGGTAACCATCATTTATCATGAATAATATGCTCAATATGATCAAGATCATCATAATGAAAATTATGGTTGCCATGGTAACCATCATTTATCATGAATAATATGCTAAATATGATCAAGATCATCCTAAAGATCATCATGGTTGAAATTGCAACCATAATTTATTATGTTTGATCTGTTAATTTTGATCATTATCATCAAAATGATGATAATGGTTGCCATGGCAACCATCATTTATTATGAATAATATGCTAAATATGATCAAGATCATCATATTGAAAATTATAGTTGCCATGGTAACCATCACTTATCATGAATAATATGCTCAATATGATCGAGATCATCATAATGAAAATTATGGTTGCCATGGTAACCATCATTTATCATGAAAAATATGCTAAATATGATCAAGATTATCATAAAGATCATCATGGTTGAAATTGCTACCATAATTTATTATGATGATATGTTAATTTTGATCCTTATCATCAAAATTATGATAATGGTTGCCCTGGCAACCATCATATATCATGAATAATATGCTAAATATTATCAAGATCATCATATTGAAATTTATGGTTGCCATGGTAACCATCATTTATCATGAATAATATGCTAAATATGATCAAGATCATCATAAAGATCATCATAGTTGAAAATGCAACCATAATTTATTATGATTGATATGTTAATTTTTATCATTATCATCAAAATGATGATAATGGTTGCCATAGCAACCATCATTTATAATGAATAATATGCTAAATATGATCAAGATCATCCTAATGAAAATTATGGTTGCCATGGTAACCATCATTTATCATGAATAATATGCTAAATATGATCAAGATAATCATAAAGATCATCATGGTTGAAATTGCAACCATAATTCATTATGGTTGATATGTTAATTTTGATCATTATCATCAAAATGATGATAATGGTTGCCATTGCAACCATCATTTATCATGAATAATATACTAAATATGATCAAGATCATCATAATGAAAATTATGGTTGCTATGGTAACCATCATTTATCATGAATAATATACTAAATATGATCAAGATCATCATAATGAAAATTATGGTTGCTATGGTAACCATCATTTATCATGAATAATATGCTAAATATGATCAAGATCATCATAATGAAAATTATAATTGCCATGGTTACCATCATTTATCATGAATAATATGCTAAATAAGATCAAGATCATCATAAATATCATCATGGTTGAAATTGGATAATGAATAATGGTTGAATAATGATAATGAATAATGAAAAATAATGAATTATGGTTGATATGTTAATTTTGATCATTATCATCAAAATGATGATAATGGTTGCCATTGCAACCATCATTTATCATGAATAATATACTAAATATGATCAAGATCATCATAAATTTAAGTAAAAAATGGAATATGTTTACTATATTTACAACATGTTGCTATAAAATTCTATTAAATTTAAAATTACTGTAAAATGTTCCGCTACGATAAAGTATTAATACTAAAACTATACTAATATGCTTAAAGTTTTGATTTTTTCGCATAATTTGGAATAAAAGAGTTCAATAACCTATTCGTATTAATAATGGGAAGATTAAATCTTCTCAGTTCTCTAAAATTATGTGTTGGTAAATTTTCTTTAGGTAGTAAATGGTGTAATTTATGATCATCTTTTGTTTCGATGGACGAGAATAGCTTTTGTGATAACTTTTCTCTTCTGTCCTTCAGTGTTAATAATTTTGCTTCCTTCAATGCGACTTTTGGACTTGATTCCGGGTAGATTATCCGCAAAGCTCGATTTTGTACACGTTCCATATTAAGCGACAAATAATCAGGAAGGCCTGAGTTGAAAACTTGGCAGCCGTATTCTAAGATGGATCTAATGCATGTACAGTAGAATTGAATCAAGGAATAATGATCTACACCTGCACGTTTTAACTGCCTTAATAAGTATAGTCGTTTTGATGCTTTTAATACAATATTTTCGATATGACTGTTCCATTTTAGGTCTTCCGTGATGGTCATACCCAGAAGTTTAGCTGATTTAACAGGTTCAAAGCGTTTGCCATTGTAATTGTAATTGTAATTGTAATTAAAAAGATCCTTAGTTAGCTAGTGCTAGTTTACACAAGGTCTTATCTATAGTAATATAATAAATACAAATAATAAATTATATTATCTATATAAAAACAATTTTAACATTCTACTAAATTATTATAATATAAAATTAAATGAACCAACTAATCTGCTCAAGGAGAGAGGACTTAAATTTTTTTGTAGAACCAATATCCTTAATCCTCTTGTTCAAACTGTTCCAAATCTCAATGGCTCTATATATAAATGTTCTAGCTAAGAATGTTTTCTTCTTACAGACGGGTTTCTCAAGCAACATATTATCTACTTTACACCTTGATGAGAATCTTGTAGAGTAGTCATGTAAAATATGAAAATAATGTAACTGATTGTAAATAGATAAAGGTTGGCCACTATACAGTGATTTGTGTAGAATAGTTGCAGTTCTAAGATAAATCCTTTGCCTCACAGTTAACCAATTCAATTTTTGATGTAGCATTTAGAATCAAACCATCATCAGTAGAGGGTCTTCTAGTAAAGTCAATTCGGAGCTCTTTACACTTTATCGGATTTAACTGAAATTAATTTTCATTGGACCATTTAGCAACTTGGTCTATTGTATCTTGTAATCTACTTTCCATGTTCCTTAAGATGACTTCAGAAATGGTCGTGTCGTCTGCAAATTTCCATATACTATTTTTGGGGGAACCATTGATACGTAGATCGTTAATCATGGCTAAGAACAGCCATGGACCAATCCTGGTTCCTTGTGGGACGCCCGCTGGAACTTGTAGGAAGTCGGATACACCTTCGGTTGATATCTTTACTCGCTGTAATCTATTTCGTAGAAAGTCCGTAATCCAATTTACGATTGTGGGTTTTAAACCATAACTGAGTAATTTTGCAATTAGCAAATTATGATCAACCAAGTCGAAGGCTTTCCTGTACTCGAGTAAAGCTACTCTTATCGCTGAGCCTGTGCCATCGGTTTCAGTTAGCCATTTGTGTAACATTGAGATAAGAGCAAACGTTGTACATGAGCCTGGTACAAAACCAAATTGTGATGGATCCAAGATCTAAGCAAAGTCGGCCTCACCTCTGTCAATGATGAATTTTTCTGCCACTTTTGATAAGGTTGACGTCAGAGAAATTGGCCTTAGATCTTTATTAAAGTCCGTGATCTTTGATTGTTTAGGGATGGGGGGAACGTCAGCCATCTTCCATGCTTGTGGGACTTTGCACGTTTGGAATGAGCAGTTGATAATATCAGCAACGGCAGGTGCTAATATATCGGCGTATGTCTTCAGTACCCAGTTTGGTAACTTGTCCGGGACCATTCGCTTTTGTGGCGCTTAATTCACGTAAAGTTTTTGCGACCACATTTCGGTAACTTGTATTGGTTCGTCATCGTCTTCCTTCAAGACACATACGTCATTAGTTAGCGGATCGTAGTCTGCCATAACACTGATAAAGGCTTCATTGATCTTATTTGCTAGTTCGTAATCGTTGCACTTTAAGTTCAGTCAAGCTTGATCGAAAATCTGGGTTATGCTTTTCCGAAGAGCCACATAACAGTTTGATTTCGTGCCACCATCTGTGCGGTTTAATTTCCTTTAGACCACGGACTTTAGATAGATAATAACTTTTTCGGCATCGCTTCCTTTCAGTTACTTTATTCCTTAAATGCCTGAATAAACCATCCTTTCCTCGTGAGAACGCCTTTTGCCTTTGAATAATGAGCTGTTTAAGTTGGTTAGTCATCCATGGACGATCAGACACATGAACTTTTATCGAACGTTCCGGCATCAGGATATCTAATCCACAATGGATAAGATCGGTAAAAATTTTAATTTCTCATCAACAGTCGGGGCGGTTGATAGCACGTCTTCCCAAGCTATGTTTGACAGAAATCTCCCAAGACTTCCAACTTTACTTGGTCTTCTATCCCGTACTTTGATTAATCTTTTATGGCACCCGGTTTTTTGTCGCCTTGTTGGAAATATTAAGATAGTTATGTGATCGGATAAGCCAAATGGAGGGCTAGGAATAGGATAAGTGTAGAATTTATGTAAGTTAGTAAACACTTGATCCAGGGTATTTGCACCTCTTGTGGGAAAGGTCACCATGTGTTTAAGCTGGAAGCACCTGGCAGTTGATTTAAACTCTAGTTGGTTGAAGTCTCCAGCCAAAATGATCGCACTATTAGTGTGTATGGTTTCAACGCGTTCTAACGAGTTTTTTAGATGATCCAGCATTGCTTTATTATCCGAATTGGGTGGATGGTAAATAACCGCTACAACTATATTATGGAATCCACGGGGCAGCCTTTCTGGACGAAGTAGTAGCTATAGTATTTCGTATTCGTCCGCTTGGAGATCTAACAGAATTTTACTTTCAATAGAGTCTTTAATGTACGCACAAACTCCCCCATGTGAACTGTTAATGCGGTCACGTCGAAATAATTGGTATCCGTTTATTTTAATTGACTGGACTGGTATCGATTCTTTAAGCCAAGTCTTTGTAAAAAAGGCTATATCAGGGTTTTCCAGGCTAATCGTATAGGCTATTTCGTCAATCTTTGGTACAATTGACATCGTATTGGACAGTAGGAGAGATGGAACGAACTGAAGATTGCTGCAAGGTGCTGACTTTTGGACAAACTTATTCATATTAGATCTATTAATATTGTTAACGTCCGTCAAAGCATCATGCTTTACAATATTTACGTACTTAAGGTTATGAATAATATGCTAAATTTGATCAAGATCATCATAAAGATCATCATGGTTGAAATTACTACCATAATTTACTATGATTGATGTGTTAATTTTGATCATTATCATCAAAATAATGATAATGGTTGCCATTGCAACCATCATTTATCATGAATAATATGCTAAATATGATCAAGATCATAATATTAAAAATTATGGTTGCCATGGTAACCATCATTTATCATGAATAATATGCTAAATATGATCAAGATCATCATAAAGATCATCATACTTGAAATTTTAACCATAATTTATTATGGTTGATATGTTAATTTTGATCATTATCATCAAAATGATGATAATGGTTGCCATAGCAACCATCATTTATCATGAATAATATGCTAAATATGATCAAGATCATCATAAAGATCATCATGGTTGAAATTGCTATAATAATTTATTATGATTGATATGTTAATTTTGATCATTATCATCAAAATGATGATAATGGTTGCCATGGCAACCATCATTCATCATGAATAATATGCTAAATATGATCAAGATCATCATAATAAAAATTTTGGTTGCCATGGTAACCATCATTTATCATGAATAATATTATTAATATGATCAATATCATCATAAAGATCATCATGGTTGAAATTGCAACCGTAATTTATTATGCTTGATATGTTAATTTTGATCATTATGGTTGATATGGCAACCATCATTTATCATGAATAATATCATCAAAATGATGATAATGGTTGCCATAACAACCATCATTTATCATGAATAATATACTAAATATGATCAAGATCATCAAAAATCATCATAGTTGAAATTACTACCAAAATTTATTATGATTGATATGTTAATTTTGATCATTATCATCAAAATGATGATAATGGTTGCCATGGCAACCATCATTTATCATGAATGATATGCTAAATATAATCAAGATCATCATAATGAAAATTATGGTTGCCATGGTAACCATCATTTATCATGAATAATATGCTAAATATAATCAAGATCATCATAAAGATCATCATAGTTGAAATTGCAAACATAATTTATTATGATTGATAGGTTAATTTTGATAATTATCATCAAAATGCTGATAATGGTTGCCATGGAACCATCATTTATCATGAATAATATGCTTAATATGATCAAGATCATCATATTGAAAATTATGGTTGCCATGGCAACCATCATTTATCATGAATAATATGCTAAATATGATCAAGATAATCATAAAGATCATCAAGGTTAAAATTGCTACCATAATTTTTTATGATTGATATGTTAATTTTGATCATTATCATCAAAATGATGATAATGGTTGCCATAACAACCATCATTTATCATGAAAAATATGCTAAATATGATCAAGAACATCCTAATAAAAATTATCGTTACCATGGTAACCAATATTCATCATGAATAATATGCTAAATATGATCAAGATCATCATAAAGATCATCATGGTTGAAATTGCAACCATAATTTATTATGGTTGATATGTTAATTTTGATCATTATCATCAAAATGATGATAATGGTTGCCATGGCAACCATCATATATCATGAATAATATGCTAAATATGATCAAGATCATCATAATGAAAATTATAGTTGCCATGGTAACCATCACTTATCATGAATAATATGCTCAATATGATCAAGATCATCATAATGAAAATTATGGTTGCCATGGTAACCATCATTTATCATGAAAAATATGCTAAATATGATCAAGATTATCATAAAGATCATCATGGTTGAAATTGCTACCATAATTTATTATGATGATATGTTAATTTTGATCCTTGTCATCAAAATTATGATAATGGTTGCCCTGGCAACCATCATATATCATGAATAATATGCTAAATATTATCAAGATCATCATATTGAAATTTATGGTTGCCATGGTAACCATCATTTATCATGAATAATATGCTAAATATGATCAAGATCATCATAAAGATCATCATAGTTGAAAATGCAACCATAATTTATTATGATTGATATGTTAATTTTTATCATTATCATCAAAATGATGATAATGGTTGCCATAGCAACCATCATTTATAATGAATAATATGCTAAATATGATCAAGATCATCCTAATGAAAATTATGGTTGCCATGGTAACCATCATTTATCATGAATAATATGCTAAATATGATCAAGATAATCATAAAGATCATCATGGTTGAAATTGCAACCATAATTCATTATGGTTGATATGTTAATTTTGATCATTATCATCAAAATGATGATAATGGTTGCCATTGCAACCATCATTTATCATGAATAATATACTAAATTGATCAAGATCATCATAATGAAAATTATGGTTGCTATGGTAACCATCATTTATCATGAATAATATACTAAATATGATCAAGATCATCATAATGAAAATTATGGTTGCTATGGTAACCTCATTTATCATGAATATATGCTAAATATGATCAAGATCATCATAATGAAAATTATAATTGCCATGGTTACCATCATTTATCATGAATAATATGCTAAATAAGATCAAGATCATCATAATATCATCATGGTTGAAATTGGATAATGAATAATGGTTGAATAATGATAATGAATAATGAAAAATAATGAATTATGGTTGATATGTTAATTTTGATCATTATCATCAAAATGATGATAATGGTTGCCATTGCAACCATCATTTATCATGAATAATATACTAAATATGATCAAGATCATCATAAATTTAAGTAAAAAATGGAATATGTTTACTATATTTACAACATGTTGCTATAAAATTCTATTAAATTTAAAATTACTGTAAAATGTTCCGCTACGATAAAGTATTAATACTAAAACTATACTAATATGCTTAAAGTTTTGATTTTTTCGCATAATTTGGAATAAAAGAGTTCAATAACCTATTCGTATTAATAATGGGAAGATTAAATCTTCTCAGTTCTCTAAAATTAAGTGTTGGTAAATTTTCTTTAGGTAGTAAATGGTGTAATTTATGATCATCTTTTGTTTCGATGGACGAGAATAGCTTTTGTGATAACTTTTCTCTTCTGTCCTTCAGTGTTAATAATTTTGCTTCCTTCAATGCGACTTTTGGACTTGATTCCGGGTAGATTATCCGCAAAGCTCGATTTTGTACACGTTCCATATTAAGCGACAAATAATCAGGAAGGCCTGAGTGAAAACTTGGCAGCCGTATTCTAAGATGGATCTAATGCATGTACAGTAGAATTGAATCAAGGAATAATGATCTACACCTGCACGTTTTAACTGCCTTAATAAGTATAGTCGTTTTGATGCTTTTAATACAATATTTTCGATATGACTGTTCCATTTTAGGTCTTCCGTGATGGTCATACCCAGTAGTTTAGCTGATTTAACAGGTTCAAAGCGTTTGCCATTTAGAATCAAACCATCATCAGTAGAGGGTCTTCTAGTAAAGTCAATTCGGAGCTCTTTACACTTTATCGGATT